GGAATCTAATTTAAGAAAGCAAAGACGGCTCTAAGGGCCGTTAAACCCCTTTAACACGAGTGCTATTTATAAAATGGCCGCTTCTCTGGACTTTAAAGCAAACACTCTTCGTCTGCTAAGGCACACAGGACCTTTACATGGAAGTGTTAAAGATGGTGGCATACATATTCAAGCCTGTAGATCAGCTGTGTTAGGAAGGTTTTGCCTTTCACCAGCTCCAGGTTGCCCAGGGGTGAGGACCCCAGCTGAGGTGGGAGAGCCCTTCGCAGGTCCTCACCGAGACCTCTTTGTCTTTTGCCTCCACAGGTGCCCCCTTTCAAAGGTCTCATCATCCTCACGCTCCCTCCTGCCGCCACTTCCACCTGGGCCCCCCGCAGCCGCAGCAGCTAGCCCCGGACTTCCCGCTGGCACACCCCGTGCAGTCGCAGCCGGGCCTCAGCGCCCACATGGCCCCGGCCCACCAGCACAGCGGCGCGCTGCACCAGTCGCTGACCCCGCTGCCCACCCTGCAGTTCCAGGACGTCACAGGTCCCTCCTTCCTACCTCAGGCCCTGCACCAGCAATACCTGCTGCAGCAGCAGCTCCTGGAAGCTCAGCACCGCAGGCTCGTCTCGCATCCCAGGTCGACAGGGGCGGGGCCGAGGAAAGAGGGTGGGGGTGTGGAGGGGTTAAGGGCAGGGACTGGGACTGGGCTTCAATCAGCCAAGCATGGATGCAGTCCCAAGTGGATGGCTTTTGCCTCAGTTAGTGGCGTTCATTCAGGTGAGAGTCTAGTGTGTCTCTTCACATCACCTAGGTTCAGGGTTAGCAGCTGGGTAAGCAGTGGCCAGGGACATTCACGGTGAACTTTTGTAGCATGGGAGGTTTGACTACAGGCCTCTCAAGTCCCCTCCAGCTCGCATGGCTGCCTGATTCTGATTGCCCCCAAACCACACCAGAACACCAAAGGAAATGACTGGTTCTAGCTCTAGCTTCCAAAGGGCCAACGTCTAGTTGGCTAGTTGGAGGCTGGAGTTGGAGACTGGTTGTACATCCATGAAACCAAATAGAATTAGCAGTGACCAAACGTCTTAAGGTGGCAAGTCACTGCCCGTCTCTGAGCCTCAGCTGTTAAGAAGAAGAAATGTATGAGCACAGTTGGGTGTCTCTTAGTCTTCTGGGTCTCAGGGACCTTTGCACACTAAAAAGTTAATGACTGCCAAGAGCCTCTGCTTATATGGGTTTACCACGTTAGAAATTTTAAAGTATGTATTAATCCATTAAAAATAACAACAGACTCCTCGTGCTAAATTTATAAATTGTTCTCTTTTTAATTCTCTTCCTTTTACTGAAAATAGATTTTTTTCCCATATAATATACCTGATTATGGTTTCCCGTCCCTCTACTCCTCCCAGTAGCCCCTCCTATTGAGATCCATTCCCTTTCTGTCTCCCATTAGAAAACAAACAGGCTTCTTCTTCTTCTTCTTCTTCTTCTTCTTCTTCTTCTTCTTCGCAGATTTTTCATTTGAATTAGGAACAAGATTGTTTTACACGGCAATCCCAGTTCCCTTCTCCCTCCTGTCCTCCCCACTATCCCCACCCCCACTAAAACCCTACCTATCATATATCCTTTCTGCTCCCCATGGATGGTGAGGCCTTCCATAGGGTGTCATCAGAGTCTAGGGTATCCTTGGGATAAGGCTTAGGCCCACCCCCATGTATTTGGCTCAGGGAGTATTCCTCTATGTGGAATGGGCTCCCAAAGTCCATACCTATGCTAGAGATAAGTACTGAACTACTACAGGAGGACCCGTAGATTTCCGAGGGTTCCTTACTGAAACCCATGTTCCTGGGGTCTGGATCAGTCCCATGATGGTATCCCAGCTATCAGTCTGGGGAGCAAGAGTTCCCTGATGTTTAGGTCAGCTGTTTCTTTGGGTAACAAACAGGCTTCTAAAGGATAATAATGAAATAAAAAAGGTAAAACAACAACAAAAAATAACAGTCAGAATTGGACAAACAAAGCCAACAATAGGAAAAGTGCCAAGGAAAAGACACAAGAACCAGAGACCTACTCAAGAGTCCCATAAAAACACTAACCGGGAAGCCATAATATATACGCAGAGGACCTGGTGCAGACCCATGCAGGCCCTGTGTATGCTGCTTCTGTTTATGAGTTCATGTTTGTGAGCTTTGATCATGTTGATTTAGAAGCCATCATTCTCCTGTGTCCTCATCCCCTCTGGCTCTTAGACTCTTTCTACCTCCTCTTTCTCAGGATCTCCTAAGCTTTGAGGGGAGGGATTTGATAGAGACATCCCACTTAGTGTTCCAAAGTACGTCTCTCTCTCTCTCTCTCTCTCTCTCTCTCTCTCTCTCTCTCTGTGTGTGTGTGTGTGTGTGTAATGTCTGGCTGTGAATCTCTATATTTGTTCCCATCTGTTGCAGAAGGAAACATCTGATGATGTTTGAACAAGACACCAATCCATGAGTATAGCAGAATGCCATAAGGAGTCATTTTATTGCCTTTTAATTTATTATTATTTTTAAGAGCAGGAGTATTTGAGTTTACCTTAGGTCCCAGGGCTATCTAGTCTCAGGTTCTTGGTCACCCAAGCAGTGTCATCTGTGGGTTCCATCTCACGGAGTGGGCCTTAAGTTGAATCAGATGTAGGTTGGTTACTCCCGCTAGCTTTGTGCCACCGTTGCACTGGCATATCTTGCAGGCAGGACAGGATTGTAAATCAAAGGATCTGTGGCTTGGTTGGTGTTTGTTTCACTTTTGGTAGCCTGCAGAGTACCTTCCTGTGCCCGAAACACTAGAATATAGGGGTGAAGGCTGTCTAGGCACCAGCTCAACTTCTGCATGTTCAGTGGGTTGTGTAGGTGTTGTCTTTTGCAATGGGCCTTCCTGTCAGTTTGTGGGGAGCAGCCTACAGTCTTGGCAACATCCTGGGTTATCTGGGAATACCCATAGGACCCCTTTGGTCAAGAACTCAATTATATGTAACCAAGTCCTGGTACTGGAAACTTCATTTGGTGACAAGAGATACCCACCTGGGGCTCTGTCACCCTTTATTTGTCAATTTCATTAGGTTTCCCTCATATATGTATGTATTTTAGGAAGTTTGTACTGTATTAAAATTCCATACTACTCTTCAAATAACCCTTGATTTTAGCTCTCTCTCCCTGCATTCACTCCCTCATGCCCCTCTTCCCTCCTTCACTTGATCCTCCTGTTCCAGGCCCCCACCCCATCATCCATATTTCTCTTTCCTAATGAGCTCCGTCTGTCCCCTGTAGTCCCTTACTCTATACCTAACCTCTCATGGTTTTGTAGATTGTAGCTTGGTTATCATTGACTTAAGAGCTAATATCTGCATATAAGTGAATACACACTATACTTGTCTTTCTGAGTCTGGGATCCTCACCCAGGATGATTTTTTTCCTACTTCCATCCATTTACCTGAGAATTTAATGATCTCATTTTTTAAAATCACTGAGTAATACTCTGTTATGTAAATTCACCACGTTTTTTTCTTATCCATTCTTCTGTTGAGGGACATGTATGTTGTTTCCAATTTCTGGCTACTGTGAATAGAGCAGCAATGGACATGGTTGAACAAATGTCTCTGTGACAGGGTGAAGTGTCCTTTGGTATATGCCCAAGAGTGTCATAGCAGGATCTTGAGGTAGACTGATTCCCAGCTTCCTGAGGAACCACCATACTGATCTCCATAGGGCTGTACAAGTTTGTACTTCCACCAGCAATGGAGGAGCTCCTCTTCTTCCACAGCCATTGCGAGCTGTCCCTTGTTGTGATGATCTTAGCCATTCTGAATGGTATAAGATGGAATCTCAGGGTAGCTTTGATTTGCATTTCCCTGATGACTTAAGGATGCTGACAGTTAAGTATTTCTCAGCCTTTGAGTTTACTCTACTGAGAATTCTCTGTTTATATCTCTGTTTATACCCCATTTTAATTGGGTTGCTTGTTTTCTTGATATCTAGTATTTTTTGAGTTCTTTATATATTTTGGATATTATCCTCCTATCATATGCATAGTTGAAAAAATCTTTTCCCATTCTATAGGCTGCTGCTTTGTCCAAACGATGGTGTCCTTTGCTAAACAGAAGCTTTTTGGTTTCATGAGGCTCCATTTATTAATTGTTGGTCTTAGTGCCTGTACTATCAGTGTTCAGTTCAGAAAAGTTGTCTCCTGTGCCAATGCATTCAAGGCTATTCCCACTTTCTCTTCTATTGGTCTCAGTGTATTTGGTTTTATGTTGCAGTTCTTGATCCTCCTGGAATTGAGTTTTGTGCAGGGTGATAAGCATAACTCTATGTACATTCAGCTACATGCAGACATCTTGATTGATCAGCATCATTTGTTGAAGGTGCTGTCTTTTTTCCAGTGTGTATTTCTGACTTCTTTATAAAAAAATCAGGTGTCCACAGGTGTCTTCAAGTCAATTCTGTGCCTGGTTTTGTGCCAGTATTATGCTGTTTTTATTACTATAGCTGTGTAGTACAATTTGAAACCAAGGATAGGATGCTTCTCTCAGTTCTTTGTTATTCAGAATTGTTTTAGCTTTTCTGGTGTGTGTGTGTGTGTGTGTGTGTGTGTGTGTGTGTGTGTGTGTGTATGAAGCTGAAAATTATCCTTTCAAGATCTGTGAAGAATTGTGTGGAATTATGAATCTGTAGATTGCTTTTGGTAGCATGACCATTTTTCCTATATTAATTCTACTGATCCATGAGCATAGCATGGGAGATCTTTCCATCTTCTGATGTCTTCTTCAGTTTCTTTCTTCAATGTCTTAAAGTTTTTATCATACAAGGTTAGTTGGAGTTATACCAAGATATTTTGTATTTTTTGAGGCTATTGTGAAAGGTATTGTCTTCCTTGATTTATTTCTCAGTTTATTTTCTATTTTTATATAGGAGGGCTACTGATTTTTGTCAACCAATTTTGTATCCAGCTACTTTGCTAAAAGTGTTTATCAGCTGTAGGAGTTTTCTGGTAGAATTTTTAGGGTCATTATTGCATACTATCATATCACCTGCAAATAAAGATACTTGGATTTCTTACTTTCCAACTTGTATCCTCTTGATCTCCTTCAGTTGTCTTATTGCTCTAGTTAAAATTTCAAGTACTATATTGAATAGGTATGGAGAAAGTGGACAACTTTGCCTTGTTCCTGATTTTAATGGGATTTCTGTAAACTGCCTTTATTACATTTATGTATGTCCCTTGTATCTCTACTGTCTCTAGGACTTTTATCATAAAGGAGTTTTGTTAAGGCCTTTTCTGCATCTAATGAGATGCTCATGTGGGTTTTTTCTTTCAGTTTGTTTGTTTGTATGGTGAATTATTTTTTAATTTATGTTGAACCATCCTGCATTTCTGGGATGAAGCCTTCTTGATCATGGTGGATGATCTTGTTGGTGTGTTCTTGGATTCAGTTTGCATGTATTTTATTGAAAAAATTGTATCTATGGTTATAAGAGAAACTGGTCTGCAATTCTCTTCCTCTGTTGGGTCTTTATGTGATTTGGGTACCAGGGTAACCTTGGCCTCATGCAACAAATTAGGCAATGTTCCTTCTGTTTATATTTTGTAGAATAATTTGAGGAATATTGGCATTTACTCTTCTTTGAAAGTCAGGCAGAATTCTGAAACCATTTGGCCTTGAGCTTTTTTTGGTTAGGGAAGTTTTAATGACTGCTTCTATTTCACTAGGGGTTATAGGTCATTTAAATTGCTTATCTGATCATGATTTAATTTTGGTAAGTGGTATTTATTGAGAAAATGATCATTTCTTTCAGATTTTCCAATGTAGTGGAGTACACTTTTAAAAGTATTTCCTCATGAATTTCCTTGGTGTCTGCTGTAATGTTTCCCCCTTTTCCCTTTCATTTCTAAGTTTATGAATTTGGATAGTCTCTCCACCTTTTAGTTAATTTGTATAAGGTTTTGACAATCTTAATGATTTTTTCAAAGAACCAACTCTTTGTTTCATTGATTCTTTGCATTATATTTTATTTATTTATTTGTTTGTTTCCATTTTATTGGTTTCAACCCTGAGGTTGATTATTTCTTGTCATCTACTTTTGGGAGTGATTTCTTCTTTTTGTTCTAGAGCTTTCTGGTGTACTGTTGGGTTACTAGTGGAATCTCTCCTTTTTTTTTTTTAATGTAGGCACTTAGTTCTGTGAACTCACTTGCCTCTTACAACTCACTTGTCCCATAAGTTTGGTTATGTTGCCTATTCATTTTCATTCCATTCTAGAAAGTCTTTAGTTTATTTCTTCCTCCTCCTCCTTCTCCTCCTCTTTCTTCTTCCTCTTCTTTTTTCAAGACAGGATCTCACCATGTGTTTCTGGCTGTCCTGGTGTGTGTGTGTGTGTGTGTGTGTGTGTGTGTGTGTGTGTGTGTGTGTGTGTGTGTGTGTGTGTGTGTGTGTGTGTGTGTGTGTAACTGTGTGTTTTCCCTCTTTGATTTGCTGATCTGGGGTTATTTATTTCTTGTGTTTTCTTGGATATAATTAACTCTTTAGGTTGGAGTTTTCCTTTAGCACCTTCTGTAGCTTTGAATATGTAGATAGACATTGTTTAAATTTGGTTTTATCATGGAATGTCTTATTTTCTCTATCTATGGTGACTGAAAGTTCTGCTGGGTATAGTAGTCTAGGCTGGAATCTGTGGTCTCTTAGAGTTTATTGAATGTCTGACCCGGCCCTTTTGGCTTTTAAAGTCTTCATTGGAATACTTAGGATCTGCTGTGGTAGGGTTGCTGGGCTCTAGTGGAGACATACAGTTGTGGATGCTATTGATTGTGTTTTTAGGCTAGTGTCTAGGCATCTGAGTGTGGGAAGATTACAATTCTAGGTGCTGATATCTGTTCTTGTATTTGTTGGGTGGGTGATTTGTTCCTTGGTTTCTGTTGCCATCTCTGCTTCTCGAGAAAGTGTGGTGCCTGATAGGAAATTCTTCTGGGATCTTGATAGGTGTGGCTACTGGGGTTCTAGGCAAACTGTGTTTCTGGGTATTGGGAGCTGACATTTAGTAATGGGTGTGGACTAGACAGAGGTGCTAAGTGGATCCACAGGAGTGAGGACAGCAGAGTGCTCCAAGAGGATCTGGTTAGCACCCTGGGAATGGGACAGAGAGTGAGGAGAGGCCACAGCGTGCATCTGGTACAGAGCTGAAGATTGGATCTGGAGAGAGGAGGGAGAGTGAAGATCTCAAGCTTGCCTACCTGCTTCCCTGACTGGAGGGACCTGTGGGTTCCCAGGCTATAAAATAGTCCTATAAAAATGACCATGTATCAGTTCAGAACTTATCTGTGCCCTCATGTCTGCTTCTGTACTAGATCTTGAGGAGTCCTACATCACAAAGTTTCTGCAAAGTTCTACCTTTTGTTTGCAAGAGAGTTAAGGGTAAAAAGAAAAAATAGTTGTTGTTGGTTTTTTTCCCCTCTCTTAAGCTACCTAAAGGGCGTCACGGACTCTTAAGGGTGCTTGGGAGAACTCGGGCTCAGTGATAGATAGGGCCCTAGGCATTGGTGAGTGGGGACAGCCTGACAGTGTTGTGAGAAGTCAAGGAGAAAGGCTGCCATGAGTTGGTGTGTTCAGGGAAGTCTTCCTGGAGAAGGAGAACTCTTCCTTGAAAGTTAGGAAGAGAGTGATGGAGAGAAGAGAATGGTGGGAATGGATGGGAAGATTTGGGGGACCAGCTTCTGCTTACCTGGGAAATTCCTTGGTGTTTGGGGACTCCAGAGTGGGGGCATCCTCAGTAGATGGAGGGAATGTCATTTAGGGCTCTTGGGAGCTTGGGGGGCCCAGGCAGCTGTTAACATAAAAGTCTTTTTTTCTGTACAGGCGGAGTCAGGATCGAGTGTCTGTCCACCCCCACCGCCTCCACCCCAGCTTTGACTTTGGCCACCAACTGCAGACACCTCAGCCCCGGTATCTGTTTCAGGGAACTGACTGGTGAGTGAGTGAGTGAGTGAGTGAGTGAGTGAGTGAGATGCTGGGCAGCACAGGAGGGAGGGAAAGAAGGAGAGAGGGAGGGAGGGAAGAAAAAAGGGAGAGAGGGAGGGAGGGAGTAAGGGCGGGCAGGTGGGCGGGCTCATCAGACCCATGGGAGTTTCTGATTTGTTATCACAGGTTAGACCCCAGTCTACTGTGTCTACTTCACTCACCTATAGGGCCTGGCTACAGGAAGAAGAGCAGAGTAACTGGACACTATCCCAGATCAAGTCTGGGGCTTGGTGTTGACAGCCAGAAAGAAGGGAGACAGGATGTAAAACATTTCCCAAGCTCAGTAGAACTACAAACCAGTGGACTCTAGAGGACAGCTTGCGAGGAGAATGCAGAAGTGTCAGGGTGGTCAGGGAAGGCTTCCTGGAAGAATCCGCAGAGAAATGATAAAACTTGTCAGTAAGGCCGTGCAGGGAGTGTGACTTGGGTGGATGTAGAGGTAAGGTAAGGACTGTGGATAGGAGCTGAAGAGGAAGATGGAGGGTGTTGTGTCTTAGAGACAGGTAGCCCCTAGGAAATCTTCCAGTTACTCATGCTTCTGGGACTTTGCAGCCCACTCACCTCTCCAACTGTCAGCCAGGAAAGATCAGGTCTTAACTATAGTCAGACTAGACCCCCACAAATAGGTAAAGGACATCAGTGGATGCAGTGGATTTCTGAGTAGTTGTTGCTAAAATTCCTTTCCTGGGGAAACGGGACCAGGAAACGGGACCACTCACTCCCTTCAAGGTCCAAATGACAAGTCAAAAATTTGATGTTACCCAAGTATCCCCTTGAGAACCAGTGAGTGTGTTTGAGCATGGGTGGCCCCAAAGCAGCCTTGCTTGGAATTTCAGTGATCTTCTCACTCCCTCCTTCTCTGGGGGAATACCAGCAGTCCACAGGCCCTATCCTGACTGATGCCCAAGGAGCCACAACTGATCTCAGGAAGATGGCGGCAGTTTTGTTCAGAGGATAGTGGTATATTGCACTGGTATATTGCAGTAGCTCACTCCAAAGAGGGATGTGCATATACACACCTATATGTGGGTCTACACATACACTTACATATGTATGTGTACATATTAGGTGCACAGAGAGAAACAGAGAGGCTGTAACAGTGACTTTGGGGAAACGTAGGTGAAGTGTATCCTGGAATTCTTTGTTTCTCTTGCAACTTCTCGATACAGAATGCAAGAGGGGCACCCACAGCTAAGCACTGAACCATACTCCTGGAATACAGTTGCAGAGAGGGAGGAGGGGGGAGCAAAGGAGCCAAGATGTTGCTAGAAAAAACCCACAGAAACAGTTGATCTGACCTACTGAGAGTGCGGAGACCCTAGTCATAAAGCTGAGGAAACAGCATTGGACCAAACAAAGCCCTCTGAATGTGGGTGCCAGCTAGGAGGCCAGGGCAGTCTATGGGACCTCTAACAGTGGAGCCCGTCTTCAACCCTAGAGCACAAATGGACTTTGGGAGTCCATTCCCTATGGAGGGATACTATTGCAGCCCAGATACAGCAAGGAGGGCCTAGGCCCTCCCCCAAATGATATGACAGACTTCGATGGTCCCCCATGGAGGGCCTCACTATCCCTGGGGCGGAGGTGAGGGGTGGGTTGGGGAGGTGGTGAGGAATATGGGAGGATGAGAGGGCGAGAGAATGGGGGCATGGATATGTAAATATGAATGCCTCTAAAATTAAAAAAAAAGAATACAAGAGGGGTGGGGAGAATATTCCTTAATGGAAGAAGAACAACAACTATTTTTAAAAGCTGACAGGCCAATATATCATCTTCCACACATTGGGCCAGGAAAGCTGGTTAGGTCAGGGTGGCTTCTGGAGCTCCTTCCCTTATAGCTGGGACTGATTCACAGTGTAGCTCTTGTTGGCCCACTGTTTCCCATGATTCTGGGCACCAGAAAGAGCATTGTTAGCATGCTCTGATGACTCCCATTCTCAGAGCTCTCAGGTACTCCCCGTTAAATTGAACAATCTCTTAAAAGATGGATCGCACTACTGCCAACTTGCGCCCAGCCTTTTCCCAATTAGCAGATTCAAATTAGGAAGATATAATCACAGTCTGGATTCAATTCTGTCCCTCAGCAGTCAAGTCAATTCAGTTTGATTCAATTCAGCACACATGAGCACCCAGAGCGCTTGTACACAAATGAGTGATCTGAACACAAGCACACGGTATGTGGGACTACACAGGTGGGGTCTACGGTGGGACCCTACAGTAGGGTCTCTCTTGGGAGGAGTCAGGAGCAGCACAATGAGTCATCCCTGCCCTTAGCTTGCTTATCCATCCATCTTTAGTCTTCTTTCTCTTTCCAACCTCTCTGCATTCCCCGCTGCCCTGAGAAACAAAGAATAAGGATCCAGGAGGCTGTTCCACATTCCACAGTCTTGTGTGGACCCAGCCCTGGGCTCACCCTGGGTTAGGAGCTGGTTCCCTGGCATCCTTCAAAGAGGATGCTTTCGTTTAACATCATCTCAGCCCACATTTAATGTATTTCACGGGCTTCGATATCTTTCTGTTGTTATAGTTACTGACATGCACATTATCCAAACCTGGCTAGTAGAAGCCTCTTCTGGAAGATTCCTTCCACCATGACCCTGGTGCACCTCAGTAGTGTTCCTGCCTTTGGTTACGACAGAATGTTCCAGTTTCTCTTGTGTTTTTTTTCCCCCCACAGAACCAGAGTTAGTTCCATTTCTCATTAGCCACCAATTCCTCTTCGTTGCTTTGTGTGGATCTAAGTTTTTGCTGCATCATTTTCTTTCTGACTGCAGATCTTTCCTGACTATTTCTTGTGGTGCTGGCCTAGAAGCACTACTCCTTCTGGCCTTTGCGCATCTGAAAAAGCTTTACTTCACCTTCTTTTTGGAAATCTGTTTTTTTTTTGTTTGTTTGTTTGCTGGATGCAGACTTCATTCTTGATAGTTTCTTTCTTTCTTTTTCTTATTGATGCCATCCCTTTCTCTCCTGGCTGCTTTTATGACAATTTGACAATTTGTATTCACCTTCTCTATCTGAGGAGCCTTTTTTTTTTGAATCTCAGGTTGGTTTTAAACTTTTATCTTTATTTTTTTTTAAATGTGATTATTATGTACTTTGAGACAGGGTTTCTCTGTGTAGCCTTGGCTGTCCTGGAACTCACTCTGTAGACCAGGCTTTCTTTGTGTTACACTGCCGAAATTTGTTAATGATTTGAGCCTATGGGTTTATAGTTTCCATCAAATTTGGAAATGTTTTATAGAACACATGTTTAAATGAAGTGTGTTTTTCTAAACCTTTAGGAAGTGGCCGGCTGGGCTAGGATTCCTTTTTAGCCTTTAGGATGAACATTAGAGTGGGTCCCTTGCCTGTGGTTTTACTGAATGGTGAAAATGTGGCCACTGCCTGTCCTCAGTCTGGCCTTGGCTTCCTGCCCTGAGAAACAAAGAACCTGATCCTTTTAGACTCTTTCTTGGAAGGGAGCAAGGTTCTTGAAAAATGGTTCTGATGATGGGGGAGGCTCCAGGTGCTCAGACTGAAAGGTCTTAGATGCTGGTCCGGAAGGACATGGAGACGCGTCATTATGGGTAAGCAGCTTGTGGGACGATTTATTAATGCCATTTCCGCCCACTCTGAGCGGCAGAGTTGGCAGCGTGGGCTCTGACTTTGCCCCAAGGTGGTGTGTGAGAGAGACCTCTTCTGAAAGCGGTTGGAGCCCCCCTCCCCCCAGCTCGTAGCTCATGAGGCTGTGTCCCCACAGGGATCTCAGTGTGGACGCTGGCTTGAGTCCTGCCCAGTTCCAGGTGCGGCCCATCCCTCAGCACTATCAGCACTACCTAGCAACTCCTCGAATGCACCACTTCCCCAGAAACTCTTCCTCCACACAAATGGTGAGTGACAGAGTCCTGGGGGGATGTGAACTTCCTCACTGCATGCTAGTGGTGTCCTGAGGCCAGGGCTCTGCGGTGCCCAGGGTCCTCTGAGTCCTGGCTCCTAGGCAGACCAGTAGCTGCCCTCCACTCTCAGCCTGAGTTCTTATTCCAATTTGAGGAAGAGGAAACGGAGCGAGTGACTAGTCCAAAAGCCAGCACTGCTGAGGAGTGTCGAGGAGGAGAGGCAGCACGGCAGGCTGTAGTCTTGGGGGGAAATGCCCAGTACAGAAAGACACTGTCCTGGGGCTAGGGAGGTGGCTCAGTCAGGAAAGCACTTGCTGTACAAGCGTGAGGACCTGAGTTTGATTCCTAGCGCACACACGAAAAGCCAGGCATGCCAGAACTGTGGAAGGGGAGGCATGCAGATCCCTGGGGCTCACTGGCTTGCCAGCCTA